TCGCAAGGGAGTGCTGTTACATCAACTGAGGGTTTGGTTAGGGCAAGCAGTCTATCATTTAAAAAAAAAATTTTTTTTGAAGTTTTTTAACATTTTCTGGTCAGGCTTATTAATGTGCTCTTTAAAACAACAGTTTATGGGAAAAACTTTGTGACTACCATGCAAGAATATATATATATATATATATATATATATATATATATATATATATATATATATATATATATATATATATATATATATATATATATGTATATATATATATATATAATATATATATATATATATATATATATATATATATATATATATATATATATATATATATATATATATATATATATATATATATATATATATATATATATATATATACTATATATATATATATATATATATATATATATATATATTATATATATATATATATTATATATATATATATATATATATATATATATATATATATATATATATACTTTTCATGCATTATAGATATTATTTATGTTGTGATTAAACAATCTATGTGTAAACTAGGTTATTGAAAGTTAAAAAAAGTTAACTAACAAAGATCATGCATTAACTTTACCTTCTTTATTAGTTTGGAAGTAAGACAAATTTCCATAAACATAGAAACCAAATTCATTTAGAAGACCTGCGGAAAACTCATATATAGTGTAGCTATGTAATGAAGTAATAAGAGCCGAACCTCCAGAAATATTGAATAACATGGTTTCATTATTTGGGTTTTTACTTTTGATCACAAAATAAATTGATGTATTGAAGATTGGTGCATTAACATCAATGGTAACAATTACAGAATATCTTGAAAATTGATCAATCTTTATAATGTTCAAGTCTAAAAACAAGTAGGAAATTTTTTTAAACGTAATCCGGTTATATTATATCAAACAAAATCTTAGGAAGATAATTGAGCTCTTTAATGCAATATAACTATATTCATAAAACATATTCTCTTTTAAACATTTATAAGTTTATGGCCCAAGCAGCATTTGTTTAAAAGTCTTGTGTACAAGAACTCTCTTCTTATTTTTTAAAATTACTTTGCAAGTATCATTTCTATATCTTAAGGGTATATATATATTTATATATAAAAGTATATATATATATATATATATATATATATATATATATATATATATATATATATATATATATATATATATATATATATATATGTATATATATATATATATATATATATATATATATATATATATATATATATATATATATATATATATATATATATATATATATATATATATATATATGTATATATATATATATATATAATATATATATATATATATACATATATATATATACATGTATATATATATATATATATATATATATATATATATATATATATATATATATATATATATATATATATATATATATATAAATATATATAAGGGTACATATATATATATATTGAATGTTTATAAATATATATAAGGGTATATATATATATATATATATATATATATATATATATATATATATATATATATATGTATGTATATATATATATTGAATGTTTTGTACTTGCATGTGTAATACCGGGAAAAATTACTATTAAAGTCGGACTCGCGATTTTGTTTAGCAACTCCGACTCCGCTATAAATGTCGCAACTCCGACTCCACAGCCTTAATATATATATTCATATATATATATATATATATATATATATATATATATATATATATATATATATATATATATTATATATATATATATATATATATATATATATATATATATATATATATATATATATATATATATATATATATATATATATATATATATATATATATATATATATATATATATATATATATATCCCAGACAGCAAGCTTACCCTGGTCCAATATAAGTTTTAACATTGGCAAGTTTATTCCGTTGGGCCAACATTTAGCCAAGGTTTTTTTTCGGCGTATTTTTTTCAATTCTGCAAATCTGTTTTTTGCAAATATGGTACTATATTGGGCCAACATTTCGCCAATGTTTTTTTTTCAGCGTAATATTGGAATTCTACAAATCGGTTTTTTTCAATTATCGTACTACGTTGGGCCAACATTTGGCCAATGTAGTTTGGGCTTAATATTTTGCTTTTCTTACATTTATACCGTAGCCAATATTCGGCCAATGTAGTTTCGGATTATTGTATACTTTTAAATTGTTTCGAAACATTTTTTAAAAATGGTATCGTTTGACAGAATAAAAAAAGGTTTTGATACTATTATATATCTTTCCTATTATTTAAATTATAAAAATAAAAAAAAGAAGCTGTATTTATTATTCTTCTAATAAGAAGAAAATTTTATCTTCTAATCAGATTGTTAATCTTCTAATAAGAAGTAAACTTCAAGAGATTCTCGTCACTTAATGTTTTATTTTTTTTAAATGAAATATTTGTTAACATTTTAATAATATGCTTCAAACATTTTTTACTACAATCTAAATTATTAATGTAATAATAAAGGCAATAATCAAATTAATTTTGTGTAAGATCTTAAATTTATTTTTTTATTTTTATTGTTGTATTGGCATTTCAAATGTTTGTTTTATTTAATAATCTTTATTAAATTTAATTTATTAAATTTTATTATTATTTTATAAAATTTATTATTATTATTTACAAATAAATGAAACATTTCAAATGTTCGATTTATTTAATAAAAAAGATATTTTAAATGCCTTCTTTATTAAATAAATCAAACATTCAAAATGTCATACAGTATAATTTTTTTTTTCATTATTTATAATAGTTTAGATCATATAGCTATTATAAGATATATTGTTAAAGGTATCAATAATATATATGTGGCATTGAAGTTGTTAGAAGCTGATATTTTACATTTTAAATATGTTTCTTTTGTTTGATTTTTTCTGTGTTTGATTATGAAACCCCATCTACTAACATATTAAAACAGTGTACAAAAAGTGATGTTACTAGAACTTATATTTTACTTATGTAAAGCTTTCTAATATTCCATCTTTCCGAGGCAGAGGGACATTATTCTTGGTTTAATTATTTTTTAATTTAATATCTCTGGATATTTTTCATATTTAGTTTGCGTACAACAGTTAACAACTTTAAGCTTATACATTAACTTTAGTTATTACTTAATTAATAATGATTTGATTTATAGATTTTTAAAGCAATACAAGATTGAATTTAGCATAAGGCTAAATTTCTGCTCTCGAGACAAAAGAGGAAGACAGCAAAAATGACGATTCAAAATAAAGATTTAAGAGACAAAAAATTGTGTATATCTTGGTGTAGATGATTTATCCTCATTTTTTTATAATAAAACAAAAACTATTTTTAAACTTTGGGATTTACCTGTAACTCCAAAATCTTTACAGAAGTTTAATGTTTGCTCTGAGAAGTTGAATGAACAAATTTATTAAATGGTAAGTGTCTAATGATTGAAAATCTTTATTCATAGCTTTAACTTTTACAATTTTAAAAACTTTTTCATATATCACGGTCAAAAAGTCAGGGTGTTAATTAACATTTTAGTATGTAATAACCAAAATATCAAAGCTCACCCCACAGGCTTGGTCAGGAAGCGGGAGCGATCGCTCTTGAATACTGACCACAGAAAATATATTTAGTTGTGAAAAACTGGCCAGGTTTTTTAGTTGTTTTGAGAACATTTAAGTTTATGAACGTAACAAAAATTTTTTGTTGGATTTTAAAGTTGGTGTCACCAACTTTGAAAACCATTTGAAATCAAATGTTGAAAAAAACAACAGTATTTGTATTTATATCAGTATTCATATCAGTTTAAAGTTTTAACAGTTGCTGGTGATTCATTATTATTCATTATATAAACATTTATTTAAATTTATCTAATAGACGAAGGTATTACAATATTTTTATAGATGATATTATTTTTAAAAATAGTGTTATTAAAATTCAGAACTAAAATATGTAAAAAATTATTTACATTGGACAAGGTCCGTACTGTACCTTGAAAATCTGGAAAATTTGTTAATATTGGCTAAAGTTGTGGAAAACCTGGAAAAGTCAGGAAATTAATTTTTTATTTAGATAGTCATGGAAAAGTCAGTAGTTCTAGTTAAGAAGTTACTCGTTTCACAAATGAACGCTGTATTTTGAAAACGTGATGAGTCACACTTTTTTTAAAAGTGAGGTTATTTGAAAAGAATATTTTTTTGAAAATATTCTTTTCAATTAACCTCACTTAAAATAAAAAAATATTAAGATAAAATAAAATTTTTTTTAGATAAAATAAAGATTTTTTTAGATAAAATAAAGATTATTTTAGATAAAGTAAAGATTTTTTTAAAGAAAAGAAACAATTTTTAGATGAAATAAAAATAAAATTTTTTACAGGAGAAATATTTTTCACTCCCTTGTAAAATTTTAATTTTGTGATTTGTCACATTTTCAAAATCCAACGCTCAATTAAGCTATTATGTTTTTTTTGGTGCTACCCATTTATTTTTTCTGAAACTTATGCTTTTCTTAGTGTTCATTCTTAGTCGTCATTGAAGTACAACTTGGTAAACTACAAAACACATCAAATTCAGTTATAAAAATTTGAGTAACAAAGGTATACTAATTATTGTATTGCCTGAAAGAGTGTCATTGCTATTAAAAGCAGTGAAGAATTAAAGTACTCTGGAAGAAAAGAAAATACCTAAGTAAATGGTAAATGTTTGTTTATAGTTTTTTTATGCATTTTGTATATCTTAGTACAATTTATATACTTTAAATAAAATACTCTTGAAAGATTTTTTGTAAATTACATTTTATATTAATTTAAGTCTAAATAAAATTTACTTTAATTATTGCCAGGTTGTGTATTTTTGCAGGTCAATTATTTGGCACAAATCGGAGTTAAAGACAAAGGAGATTGTATATTTTATTTGCTAAGAATAGTTTTTTTAAAATGGCCTAGTTGTAAAATTAAACTATGCAGGAAGAGGACAAAAAATTGGAATAGAAAAAATGTTGATTGCATATGCTGCTATTGGTAAGTGGTTTAGAAAAGTTTATTTTTTCAGTTTCAATTTTGCATTACAGAATTACTTTCAATTTGTTATATTTCTTTGGTGCATAATTAAACAAACAACTATTTTTTTTTTTGCAGAAACTGTAAAGTCAAATAGGCATGACTTATGCAGACATGTGATAGAGATAGAGGAAGAAAAAATAATAATCGTGGGCACCAAATATCATAAGCTATACACGATTCAATAACAAGTAGCTCAGCCAATATCGAAACTACTCTATAAATTTTATTGTGAATTTTTTTATTTAAAACTTAATGTGTCAGTTTTTGATTTAAGTTTATTGTTTGCAATATGTATATTCAACAGATAAATTATGTTAAATAAATAAATTTTTATACTTGTATCAAACATTCTTTTTTTCTCTATAAATTTTCAATGTGGCGTAGCAAATCATTTTATTTGTAACAACGATCTAATGTTGCATCAAACGTTAGGCCGATATATAACATACGATATTGGGCCAATGTTGTATACAACGTTAGGCCAATTTTGTATACAACGTTGGGTCAATGTTGTATACAACGTTGGGCCAATGTTGGGTAAACGTTGTATACAACATTGGGTCAATGTTGTACGCAACATTGGGCCAATACCTAACCAATGTTCAAACCTGCATTGGGCCAACATCGACTTTCAACGTTGGGCCAATGCATCATCATGCATTGGCCCAACGTTGGTCCAATGTAAGCTTGCTGTCTGGGATATGTATATGTATATATATATATATATATTCATTACCTTAAATTTTGTCAATATTTTAAACTCTTGTATAGTAATGAAAAAAAAGTTGAGTTTTTACTTTTGAAACAATTGTTTGGCTTCAGTATAAGTTCCTATTTAATTTTATAATAAATGATATAAGACAAACATATATAATTTTTTATACTTAGTATGTGAATTCTATAAAACAATTAACAATATTAACTTTATAACAGACAGGTGCTAAGATTTTTTTAATAAAAATCACATAGTAGAACTCTATTTTACAGCCAAGGTAACAACATGGATTATTGCCTAGCGTTCTTTTATAACTATTTTACAAAAAGATGATCTTAAAAAGGTAAGTTTTTAGTTAAATATATCAAGTGTTACTTAAAAGAAACAATTTTGATATTTTGATTTTGTTTTTGCCTTTTCAATCCATATTTTTGAATTACATAATAACACACTGTATAATTGTATTATATCAATGCATGGTATGTACACAGCTCTGTATTACAGGACAACAGCAACAAAATGTGGATTGGGTGGGCAGTAAATTTTTTTATATGCTCTTATACAAAACCCTGTAAATATAGCACTAAACTTTTTTTTGCTGAAACCATATTAAACATAATTAGATAAATTTAGGTTCAATTTTTTAAAAAAGTTTCTATTTTGTTTTAGGTGTAGCACTTTATATTAAATATTATTTAAGAGTTATTTTTAGATGTTTTGAAATATTGCTAATTTTATTTTTGGTTTTTAAAGGGTATTAAAATATTATAATTAAAAACTTAAAAAATATTTTTTGTATGTTTTCTACTAAAGAAATTACTAAAAATTAAAAACTAGTTGTTGAAAGATATTTTAAAATGAACTTTTAAAATGAACTTTTCTTAGACTAAAACGAAAAAAAATTTTTTAAATGAAATCTTCTTAGGCTAAAACGAAAAAAGGTTCATTTTAGCCTAGGAAAAAGTTCATTTTATATTATTTTTCGTTTTTGTCTAAGAATATTTTATTTTTAAAGTTCATTAAAAAAAATTATTTTGTAAACCACTAGTTTTCAATTTCTTAAACAGAACGAACACAGAGCTAGGTACACAGTGACATAACTCATTTTGGAGTTATTTTATAGTTAAAACACTAGGAGGAAAAAAACCTTTACTTTGGACCAATAAAAAAGATTGCCATTTTTTGAAATGTGTCACAATAAAAACACTCGATTTTAGTATTTAAATCCGTATGCAAAAATCGAAGAAAATAGAGTTATGAGAAAAAGTGTAACTCATAAGAGTTAAAGATGCATAAAGATAAAATTCAAGAAAAGTGTTAAGTAGATAAAAACTCTGAATTTTTTGTAATGTTGCGCTTTTTAGTTATATTTAAAAAATCACTCAGTAGCCGTTTTTCTGAAAATCACCGGCTGCGGTTTACCTAATAAATAAAATGTTAGCATCGAACCGTTGGTTTCAAACTGTCTGTTGGCATCGAACCATTTTGATACGGTGACAAAAACAGCACGAAAACTAGTTAATGGAGCTGGCTAATGGAGGTTTTTTAACTGAAAAACTTATCAGAACGGTTAATATACGGAACCTAAACGGAAGAATTTGAATATCATTTACTTTCATCCATTTTATAACCGGTCGTTCAGAGTTTTTCTCTTAACGTCCACATAAATTCTCCGTTTAAAAGAAGAGATGTGAATACAGCTGCAGTGCAATATCTGTCCGCTTTCTTTAAGCTATCTCTGTAACTCATTTTCTTCTATTTTTCACAAATTCATAGTATTATATCTAAATCTATCAAAAATCAAGAAATCAAAACATTAAATTAGAAAGATATCACAGGTTACAATGTTACAACGACTCATTAGGTAAAAATGTTACGTATCATTATGTAGTATGTTACGTCTCGATTACATAATCATTACGTAATCATCTTGGATACGTATCATTACGCCATATGTTACGTCTCGGTTACATTAAATTACAGACATTTTGCACGTAACGTAACGAATCTCGTTTACGTTACAATACGTAACATAGTTTTAAAATATTATAGACAATATGAGACGTAATTAAAACCCGTAAAAAGTTGTTGATCTTACATTTTTTTTTGTATTTTTATTTTAAGAACATCAGATTATATCTTTCCTTTATAGGATTTCATAATTTTTATTTCTTTTTTAGTTGTGATTTTAAGTACAAAGTGTTATCAATATCACTCTTTTGTTGGGTAACTTTGACAATCTGTTAATTCTTTATGACTAAATAATTTGGCCCACTTTACAAATGTCATTAACACATTTTTTTTTGAAGTTTTACTATATTAGGACACAATATACAAGCAAATTTATAACATTTTATTAGTGAAATTTACAATTTAGATAACGAGTTGGTTATCAAATATATCCATATAATGGACAAAAAAGCAACATTTTATTGTTAATATGCTAAACATTGCAATTGTGCAAATGCGATTAGGAGTAAGCAAAAACGAGTGGTATATTTCAGTGAATCATAATTGGAATATATCACTTAAACATCTAAATATGGTTTAAAAAAGCAACTCATCCCAAAAAATGAAATCATAGGATTTTTGTCATTTTTCAGGGACATGTAAAAGTCATTATTTTTGTTATTTGAGTAATGTTAATCTCAAAACATTTGCAGGAGTTACAATTACTTGAAAATCATTATAATTTTCTCAAATATAGATTTTTTTAACTATTTTTACGTTACGATTTTTTTTACGTTTCAGTTTACGCTTTTTTAAAAGTTGTACTTTTATAAGTTTAAATAAAAAAATTGAGACGCAACTAGCGAATTGAAACTATTTTTTTTTCGTGACAATTTAGTTACAAAAAAAAGTAATTAATTTAAAAAGGAATCCACTTTAAAATTAAAATAAACGATGGTATTTAGCAGTTAAAAAAAAAAATAGTTACAAATATTTTACATACAAATGCATAGGTAAATACCATATCTCATGAGTTACGGTATTTAATAAAATTGTTTTGTTAACAATATTATTTATATATTAAATTTGATTATTTATGTATTTGATTGTTGAAAACGGACTAACACGCGTGATTTGAGTTTTCAACTATCAAATAGATTAAAAAAAGTACATTTAAAAGTTAAAATAACTTATAAGTTATTTTTTACTTTTGAATGTACCGTAATTACGGTAATTAAGCAATCTAATGTACTTATCATTTTCAAAAGTATAACCAACCGAGACAGCGTAATGTAAACCATTTAAGAATGGAAACGTAATTAACCCCTATAACATTTTAAAGTTACGTTACGTCTCAATCGGTTACAATTGGTAACAAGGTTACATTCTCTACTTTTTATTCAACTATTAAGTAAATAAACTTGAAAATGCAGTAAATGTTTGTTCATCATTGCCGTATTGCTAAATACTATCTTTTATTTTATTTTTATTGTAAAATAGCTTCGTCTCAATTCGTTACTTTGTCACGAAAAAACAAAAAGTCTCAATTCGTAACATTACGTCTTAATTGGTTTTTTTTTAAACTTTTTAAAGAGTAATTAGTTGAGACGTCACGTAACGTAACAAAATCTGGATTTGAGACGTAACTAAAATACGTCTCAAACATAAATTTTTTTAACGTTACGTTACGTCTAAATTCGTTACACTCTTACAAGTAAAAAATAGACGTAAGGTAACGTAAAAAAAAAATTATATTTGTGACGTGTTATAATTGAGGAATAATTTTTTATTTTTATACGTAACAAGTCGTTTCCATGGGTTACAGTAACAATATTTAAAATAAGGAATTAGATTGCTTGTGGGTATTTTTTTTTTTAAAAAAGACTGCATTGAATTCAATGAATTTATAACTGTTAATAAAAAGATAAATAAATAAATATTTACATGTAAATACATAACAATTTTGTATTAGGAAATTTACTCGAATAAACTTTAAACAATTTAACTTGAAACTTTTGGCAAAAATGTAATAAAAAGTATAAACGGAGCGGATCCGGTTTTTTCCTAGTTTGCTATATAACTACAATCATTCTGGCTTAAATATTAATACAACTCTCATTAGATTAAACATTATACATTATTCAACGGGTTATTTTACTTTGCACGTTTTCGAATTAGAAATTAATCACCATCCACGTTTTCCAAGTTAAAACTAACTACCTCGTTTTTCTTTTACCGCCTTATATTATCTTATATATTTCGTATTAACTGGTTATTCGTACATACGCAGCATTCACGCCGCTTTTGTGTTCGGTATACCCAAGATGAAAGGTAACTTCTTCATTATTTCTTAGTTTTTATGTTTTTATGTTTTACATGTTTTTAGTGCTTCCATTTTACCATGTATCTTTTATTATATGTATACCAATTATATGTTTAGGTAATATAACTAAATAAGTTCAATTGCCTGTTGGTTGTTTATATACCGTTTTTATTTTGGTTATTTGTTACTTTGATTTTGTTTATCAATTGTTTCTACATTTTTTCTGTATTCATTGTGAATTGTTGTCTAATTATGTTTATTTGTT